TTTCTCTCATTCGAATTGACTTATCATTTTTTAGTTTAATTTAAATTTTTACAGGTTTTTTTTTTTTTTTATATCTAAACGATTTTAAATTGTCTTCCAGGTTTTTATATTTTTTCCAGAAAAAGTTCCAGAAATTCGTTTTTTTATTGTGATTCATTTCCGTTATTGTTTTTTTTTTTTTTTTTCTTAATTTATTAAAAAACTTGAAACAATTTTAAACAAAATAACAACAAGTCGAGTAAATATGAATGAATGAATGAATATTTTGAATTAAATAATAAAAATTACAGTGTTGCATTTTTCAAATAATAATAATAATAAAAGAAATTTACGTCGTTATGGAAAAAAATAAATAAATTAAATTCGCGATTAGAAATAAATAAATAAATTTTTTTTTTTTTTTTTTTTTTTTTAACTTGGAAAATTCATTCCCGTTCCTTTCACAAAAAAAAAAAAAAGTCAGGCATTTGGGAATAAAATAAAAGGTTTGGAAAAGGGGGGATACGGGGGTCGGGAGCCCCCCCGATTCGAAGGGGGATGGGTAAAAGGGAGTCAGGGGGAGGCTGGGGGGGGGGAGGCACAAAAAAAAAAAAAACTGCATTCTGTCGGTATCATAAGAATTGGAAAAACAGAGAAAACAGAGAAAACGAAAAGATAGAGAGAGAGAGAGAGAGAAAAAAAAAAATTATTAAAGAGGATGAGAAAGCATATTTTATATTAAAGAATAGGGTGCCGTAATGGATTTTTCATGCTCGCCACTAACTTTATGACCGTCTGCTTCGCAACAAATTTCCGTTTGATGCTGCAAAAATCTGCGTTATTTTGTTTTTGTTTTTTTTTTTTTCTTATTTTCTTATTTTTTTTTTTATAAAAATTTAATTCGCGTGTAATAACATTGAATTTTTATTAAAAAAAATATTTCGCGTTTTAAAAACACCAAAAAAAAAAAAAAAAAAAATGGAGGACGTGGATGAATCTACAACGAATCATATTAATTAAAAAAAATTTTTTTTTTTTTTTTATATATAATTTTATGAAGTCTTTTAGTTTTTCTTACAATTTAACTTTTATAGATTCTCTTGTGAGAGTTTTTTTTTTTTTTTTTCTCAAAAGTCACCGCAATAAACAGATAATTTATTATTGTACAATAATAAATTTAAGGGTAAGTTTCGCTCGATAAATTATTAACCTTGTTTTTCATCATTTTACTACCGAAACTAACCCCCTCCCTCTCCCTCACCCCCACTCCCCTCTCCTTATACTTTTCTTTTTATTTTTAAATAAAAATTTTTTACTATATTTATATTGTATTCTTTTTATTTTAGATATTTTCCCCGTTCGTAAAAAATTTAATTTTTAATTAAATACCTGTTTTCCCCCCCCCCACTCCCACCCCCTCCCCAAATAAATAAATTAATTTTTATCAGTTTGTATATAAAATTAAAGGATTCCTAAAAGGAAAAATTATGGTGATAACGTACGAATTTTTTTTTTTTTTTTTACATACATTACGTTTAGAAAAAAGTATTTAGTGATAATAATAATAATAATAATAATAATAATAATAATAATAATAATAATATTAATAATAATAATAATAATAATACAATATAACCGTCGTAAAAAGTTTTTTTTTTTTTAAATAAAATTAAATAATTATTTTATAAGGTTTTACTATAATATAAAATTATATAAACAAAGGGTAAAATTTTTTTTTTTCATTCATTCATTTTCCCACAATTGTATTTTGTGTTTTTTTTTTATAACACTTTTATTATCATTAAATTGTTTTAATATATATATATAAACTTTATAGTCAAATCCTTTTAAATTAATTGAAAAAAAAAAAAAAACCGCGCCATGTTTTTTATTAAATTTAAATTTAAATAAAAAAAAAAAAAAATTAAAAGATATCGAATTAAAATTTATATAAAAAAAAAAATTCTTATTATGAAATCATTTTATTATTATTATTATTTATTTATAATAAGTAACGATTTTGTTTTTTTGCCTCGTTATAAAATGAAATTGTAAAATAAGGTAAAATGTGTTAAAGGGTTAGTTTCACATGTTAATTAAAATATTATTTTATGAGGTTATTATTAGTTAAGAGAAAATTTATTACCGATTCCACCCCCTCCTTTAGGGTTGTTATTATTATTATATTCGTTTGTTGGACTTTATTTTATCAGGGCAAATATAGTAACATGATCTTTGATTCATGTAAATAATATTCTTAGGGTAAACATGGTTGCCATTTGTAAATACAACTAATGCATTATAATAGTTAAGACTAAGGCTAAAATGATTGATTTGATTTCTTAATTACGGTTATATTTTGTTAATGGTTCAATTATTATTAACAAAATAAATAATTTTAACTATTGAGAGTAAAATTAATAATAAAAATTTAATAATAAAACATTAAATTTTTTTTCTATTCCTTCATCAAAGAATATTATTATTATTATTTTAATTTTATGATTAAAAATAAATAAATAAATTATTTTCATTTATACGGTGACTATTTATTTATTTATATTTTATAATATTAAAAACGTATTGAAATAATTTAAACCTTTTTAAATAAAATTTTGTTTAAAAACCTCAAATCCAAAAAAGGTTTATTTTAAACATACACACACTAAAGACTTTTATTATTCCTTTTTTAGTTAAGAGGCTTTTAATATAATTTTTTTTATAAAATAAAATTTTATAATTTTCTTTAGTTGATTTATTCCTGTTTTTTCATTTATTTATTTATTTGGTTTTTTTTTTTGTACTTTTAATGTAAAAATGTTTTTTCATATAATTTTTTTTTTGGAATTATAGTCTTTAAAATATTGTTTAACTTTTTATAAAGTAATTGAGCTTTCATAAAACTATACTAAACAAATTTTAAAAAATTAAAAAAAGTAAATTTAGTTTAACAAAGTAAATATTTTATATTTTAAAAATAAATTCATTAGAATTTTCATATAAAAGTAATTACTTTACTTGTTTTCCCATACATTTTTTTTTTTATTATAGTTACTTATGTAGCCAATTGTAATATTATTAATAATATTATTTAATTATTGGTAATAATTGTAATTAATTCGATGTGTACCAGTAAAATTATGAATTAATATTATTACTTAAATAATAGTCAAAGTTTGGAAAAAGTTAATAATAACTTACCGCAAACTGTAAGTGTTAAAATGTCATCCATCCTATTGACACAGAATCAACGTGGCGGTAAAACGATATTCTTCTGACACTGTCATTTTCCCTAAAACAGAAATAAACAGCGTTTATAAATAAATAATATTACAAATAATTCATTAAAATCTGTCTAATAATATTTTTATTGGCTTGTTTTGTAAAAATGGCTTTGTCGATAAAAGAATTTTCTGCCTTACTAAAGTGAGTTTTCGACTATAATAAATAATTATAATAAAAAATGTTAAAATTTATTATATATTTTTTCAATGTACTTATTTTCTGTTGTGATATTTTTTTTTAAATGTTTTTACATAAAAATATTTATTTTATTTAATTATAGCATAATTTCTGAAGAGAACGTGGAATCACATTCTCTTGATTCTTTAGCTTCACAAATTAATCAACAATTTAAGAAAGAAGAACATTTTAAAGGTAGAAAATTAGCTTAAAATTTTATGAAATAATTAATGTAATATTTTATGAAAAAAAATTTTTTATTTTAAATTTTTTTAGTCGGTTGTGCTCTTGTCATGTTACTGCAACAGTCAGACCTTTTCCCTAAACCTACTCAGAGGTTAGCTATGATAAGTTTATTGAATGATTTATATAAAGGAGATTCAGTCGTGTCTAACCCTTTTGTTTCTGTTTTTATTCATTTGCTGGTATGTTAAACAGTTATATTAGTATTACAAATAATATTTTTAAAGCATAAAAACTTAAACAGTTTTCTTATTATTCAAGCATCCTTCAGAAGAAACAGACAAAGTTACAGGTAGAAAACTATTATATGGTGGGCATTTGCCTTATTTGTCCACAAAAGAGAGAGCAATCGTATCTCAATTAATTTCTGGAGTGTCTCACTTAAACAAAAAAACAGCAAAGCAAATTTTATCAAGTGATCTTACTCATATCCATAATGTTGATATTACTGGTGAGTATAATTATTCATACTAATTTAAATTTTTAATTTCTTCAAAATTATTTTTACATGATTATTATTTTTTTTACTAAAAAGGTATTGAATTGGCAAATGCTGAAAAAATGTCAGAATTACCACATTCTAGTAAAGGTGGAATTCCAGTAGTAATTTCTTATCCAGATAACAAATTTGGAATTAATTTAACATATGATGCATCAACTGCAAAAAAAACAGCAGAACAATTATTAGCAGGACCTAAGAATATAACTGATCAAAATTACAGACCTGAATTCATAAGACTAGTTCCTCCTCTACATGATTGTCATGATGAGGTTACATTTTAAATTTCAGTAATTCTCGAAAAAATCGAATGAACTATTTTGTGTTATTAAGTATCTATTGTGATATTACAGCTTGTTTGGATGAACATGACTGAACCTTGTGAACGTAAACCTGCATATGATGTGACAATGTGTGTGTCTAATAGTGCTGGAGTAGAAGCTAGACGATTGATGGCTAGAGCATTTAAAGGTCCTCTCACATTGCAACAGCAGCAACATTTGCTCAATGAAATTGAATCAGATCCAAAATTAGTTTACCTAATTGGATTAACACCAAATAAATTGCCTGATCTTGTCGAAAATAATCCTTTAATCGCTATCGAGGTTCTATTGAGACTCATGCAGTCTAATCAAATTACAGAATATTTCAGTGTTCTTGTTAATATGGAAATGTCTTTACATTCGATGGAAGTTGTTAATAGGTTTGTAACTAAAATAAAATATTTTAATATTTTTAAAAAGTTAATCAATCATTAAAAAATCATTCAATCAGCTAAAGTACTTTTAATGTTATGTACAATTAAAATTTTTTTTTTTTTAATCAGGTTAACTACAACTGTTGACTTACCCACAGAATTTGTACACTTGTACATTTCTAATTGTATTTCAACATGTGAAACTATTAAAGATAGGTACATGCAAAATAGATTAGTCAGACTTGTATGTGTTTTTTTACAATCCCTTATAAGAAACAAAATTATTAATGTACAGGTAAATTTTTTTTTTTTTTTTTTTTTACTGTCACTTCGTAACAAAACCTATTGATAAAGTTTTTATTAATAATTTTTTCATTTTCCCTTATAGGAATTATTTATTGAAATTCAAGCTTTTTGTGTTGAATTTAGTAGAATTAGAGAAGCAGCAGCTTTGTTTAGGTTATTAAAACAATTGGAATCTGGTGACATTGGAGGCTTATCAGGATCATCTGGATCGGCTAAAATAAAACCAGATAGTTGATGTAAATAAATCTTATTGAATGCAAATAAATCATTTAACATGCTCAAACAAATTTTCTTTTTTTTTTTTTAACTTTCCTTTTTAAAAAAAAAATCAAAAAATAACTAAAAAAAACTTTTACAGAGAGTTTTTTTACACAAAATTTAAAACAAAAATTAATTTTATTAAGAAAATAAAAAAAAAATTATTTGATTTAAAGTTGTTATACATGTTTCATTTTTATATCACTTATTATTAAATTGATTTTGCAATATTAAAAAAAAATATTTCAGTTATTGTGAAAATAATAAATAAATAAATAAATGGACTAACCTTGAACATGATAAAAGAAATAAATTAAGTCTCTTAGAATTATCACATACTTATACTCACACATTGGCTGATCATCCTGAACAAAAAAAAATTATTCATTTTTATTTTGAACTCAAAAATTTATTGTAGGTTAAAAATTATAATACATAAATAAAACATTAAAATTTCATAAAATTTTCCTTCATTACTATTGAAATTAACATCATGAAGTTTTAAAATTTTTTACATTTATTAAATATAAAATTTTAATACTAATAAATATATGCTAAAAAAAAAACCTTTTAATTTTAAAATAAATTAAATTAGTAAAGTAAATAAGTTTACTTAAGAAATAAAAATTTCTAAAAAAGAAAATTAAAGTAAACCTAATTTCGATATTATAAAAGAATATTAGCAAACTTTCAATTTCATTTAGTGCAATTAGGTAACCCAATGATTTACATTTTCAACAACTTACTGAATCATTTACAAGTTAAATTTTTTTTTTTTTTAGTTCATATAAATAATGAAATAACTTGCAATCAAATAATGTACAAATTATATATAAGAAATAAGAAAAACGACAAAATTTTTTTTTTCAAGATTCGACATATTTAGTGCATTTAAAAAAAAAACTTTCGATTAATTTCAAGTATTATAAAAATTCCTTTCGATAATAGTTATAATAATTATAATTTTATATCTATTGTAAATAAAAGTTATTTTTTTAATAAAACTTCATATAATATACATTCGTCTTTATTTCCTAAAAGGTAAATAAACTTTTAACAGAAACGATGATGATTTTTTAAGAAAATTAAAGAAACATAATATCTAAAAAAAAATAATATGATTTTACATGTAAGAAACTGTATCTGTTCAAGAGTATATTTGGCCCTTTTAAAATGATTAAAATATTTTCAGTAAATGATTACAGTTACAATTATATACAAATATATTTTCAATGATATATCCATTCATTATCATTTTATAAATAATAATGAATGACGTGTTTTTTTTATAAAAATTAAATAGTATTCTTTATACTTAGTCAATTTAATTTTTAATTTATGTGAGTGTTTCACCTTTTGTGACTCTTGCTTCTAAATACTCTATTCTTCTTTCTAATATTGTTAGTTTTTCATTTAAAACAGCTAATCTCGATCTGCAAGACATATCTAAAAATTATATAATTTTCAATTATTAGAAATTTTTTTCAAGTTTGTTATATGAATTTTACAAGAATTAAATTAAAAAATAAATTGTATTGTTACCGAAAGAATTTAAAAAATCAGTTATTCTTTTTATGCTTCCAGTTATAAGCTCAATATACTCCCTATTAGCCCAATCTTGTTCGATTTGTTTTTGAATTGCTTCTCTATGTAAAGAAGCCATGCTTACTCGAATAAACAAATTGAGTATAGCCAACCGTAAAAAAAAAAAATTCCCTTACAAAAATTTTTTACCTTTGTGAAAAAAATTAAACGTCAAATGAATTAATTTTATTTTAAGAAGAATAATTTTAATTAATTTTTTCCAACCTTATTTCATTCATCTTATAATTAATTGTACTGAATTAAATGGCCTATCGACACATGTCATTACCGGCAAGTGAATTATTACTTGCTATCACGAACATTATTCAAATTTTTCAAAAAGAAAAATTATATAAAAAATTATTTTTTATATACATTTAAACGAATACAATGCTATAAGTATAAATCGACCATAATTAGTGCTACGTACTTAATGATGACCTCACAATTGAATTTACTTTAAAAAAGAAAAAGTATTTATTAAGCAACAGTAATGGATGATCAAGTGTGCCCTAGGTGTAAAACTACAAAATATAGAAATCCATCATTAAAATTGATGGTTAATGTTTGCGGTCACGCATTATGCGAAAGCTGCGTTGACTTACTTTTTTTAAAAGGTAAAATACATGTTATAGCATGCCCTGTTTGAGACTTCCTCTCAAAATGTAACGTTTAAGTTCAAGTCACCTGAAAATAAACTAAAAGAATTTATTTTGAATAACTTTTAATTTAAAACAACTCGGAATACTATTCACTAAGTAATGATATAATTACTATTTAGTAAAGTTCTTTTTTCAAAAAGCAATTTGTTATTTCAAAACATCATAATTTTAATATAATGTAGTACAATACTAATAATAGTAAATTAATTTTAGGTTCAGGTTCATGTCCTGATTGTGGAGTCCCACTGAGGAGGAGTAATTTTAGAATTCAACTTTTCGAAGATGCTACAGTCGAGAAAGAAGTTGATATTAGAAAAAGAGTTTTGAAAGATTTTAACAAAAAAGAAGAAGATTTCAATTCTTTAGATGACTATAATAATTACTTGGAAGAAGTTGAAACGATAATATTTAATTTAACAAATAATATAGATGTTATTGAAACGAATAAAAAAATTGAACAGTACAAAAGGGAAAATAAAGATGTGATTTTAAAAAATAAGACTAAAATAGGAAGAGAAGAGTATGAATTGGAAGAAATATTAGAAGAGGAAAAAATGCAAGATGAAGTGAGAAAGAAAATGATAGCTCAAGAACAAAAAGAAGCCAAGGAGAAAAAATTAATGGCAAAAGAGGCTTTAATCGATGAACTCATGTTTTCACATTCCGATGCCAAATCAATTGTTAAATCATATAATGAAGTAATTCAAGCAACCAAAGAAGAAAGTGAAAAACCCAAACCGAAGCCGACACAATTTTCTACAGGTATTAAATTAGGATGGCAAAAACAACAGGGTTTTCTTCCTGTACCCAAAGTGCAAGAAGGAGAACCATTTATATATAAAAAATATGTGATGAGCATAGATGGGCCAGAGCCACCATCGTGGGAAAGAATAAAAAAAGATGGTTATTTAGTTAATATAAGAGCTGAAAATGATCAAGAAAGAGCAGGTGGTTTTCAAAGTAATATCGCATGCATGAGAGCTTTACAGGAAGCATTTGTTGGCCTTTTTAGTTCATAAAAACTAAAATTTATAAGATTGAAATTGTATAATTTAAAAAAATTTAATAAAAAAAAAATATTTTAAAACAATCATTTCTTTTGTGTTATGCAACCAGATGGTATATAAAAATTGGTTTGTTGTTTAAATTCTTGCCATATTAAAATAAATTTTAAATCATGTCAAAATTTTAAAATTAATTAATTGTTTTCACTGCCTAAACAAAATTTAAAATAATTTAATTAATTTTTTTTTTTTTTATTTGTCTTAACAATATTGACAAGGAAATTATAAATTTTTTGTTGTTGTTATGAAACAATAAATTTATTCAAAAGTTTTGTTTTGTTTTGTTTTGTTTTGTTTAGTTAAATTAAAAGTAAAGATAAAAATTGATTTGGTTGTGTTTTGGATTTTTGGTTGTTAAAAATGTTTTTTTTTTTTGATTGTTTTCTTATTTAAAATATTATTCTGTGTTTTTTAAACAATAAGTTATAATTAAATTATAATTTTTTTTTTTTGTTTTGAAAAAAATTAAAATAAACAATTCAACGATATTTTTTAAAAAAAGAAAATTTTTCATTGTTTGTTTTAAATTAATAATATCCATAATAACAAATGATAGAAATTATTCCGTATAAAGGGTAAATTAACTGTCGTAATCGATATTTTAACTCAAATTGCCTCGGGGCTACGGTCCTGCACACATAAAAGGTCTTTGTGAGTTTTATTAATTGACAAGTATGTATGTTTTCCCTTTTTTTTGAAAATAATGTTTCATCCGTCTCTTGACAACCTTTTTTTTTTTACTTTGTTTGATCTCTAATGTTTTTTTCCTCCTCCCACCCTCCCTCCTTCCCCTTTCTCATCCGAGCCACCATTCTTAAATTATTATTTTTCTTGTAAAATTTTCATTTTAAAATTTCAATTAAAAAATAAAAAGTCGACCGTTATTTAAAAAAAATTTTTTTTAAATTAACTTGAAATAAAAAAAAAAAAAAGAGAGAGAGAGAGAGAGAAAAAAGGTAATTTAAATAATGAGGTTTATACAGGTACCACATTCGGGGTCTATACGAATAAAGGGCTGAAGATGTTTAGTTTACCCGTCCGCGTCTTCATAGTCGAAGGGTGGCCCCACACCGGATGTCATTCGACCGTGCGCTTTTGACTTAAACGGTTCCCGACCGTTCTTCCGTTACGTTTTCGTATCGCCGACACGTTCGTAACCGTCCCGCGAAATTTTTTTTATTGTTTTTTTTTTTTTTTAAATTCGTTAAAATGGATAAAAACGTAAAAAATTTAATTTTTTTTATTGTTTATTTTGTTTACGTGTATAAATGAATTTTTTTTTTAAAAAATTTCTTTCTTTTTGTAAATGAAAAATTATTATTATTTTTTTATAATGAAACAAATTAAAAGAAAAAAGTTTTAATTATAAATAATAAACCTTTTATTTATAACAGTATTTAATAATAATAATAATAATAATAATAATAATAAATTTCGGGATTTTTATTTAATAATAATAATAATAAAATGACATTTACGGGAAATCTAGTCGTTTTTTTATTTTTTAATTTTTTTTTTATTTTACGTCAAGTCTCAGGAAGTTGGTGGTAAGTTTTTACTTTATTATTATTATTATTATTAAATTATTTATTAATAAATAATTTAATTATTTACTTTTCAATTAATTAAAATTAAAGGGACCGACATATTTTTTACACGTTTTAAAGAAACGCACAAAACTTTATGGAAAACATTAATAATTAATAAATTTTTTTTTTTATTTTTTCTGTCGTGTTTATTATATCGTGCTGTCGTTTTGTTTTCTGTCGTGATTCATACTAAACCTAATTTTCTGTCGATTAGTTACCGTTAGTCAACCAAAAAAAAAAAAAAATTATTATTATGTGTTTAAAGTTAATTATTAAATTTTTAAACAATTTTTTATCACAAGTAAATTTGTTGCAAAAACCTGATTAATTTCTATTTTAATTAAGTTTTTAACCTCCATCACGTTTTACCTGTCGACTAGAAAATATAAGTATTGTTTGTTTGTTTGTTTGTTTTTTTGTTTGTTTTGTGTCTTACAATGACATTTTGGGACTGAAATGTCAAAACAATGCAAGAAAAAGTATTTAATGCAATGCAACACAACACCTTCATCATATTATTTTAATTTTTTTTATGAATTAATCTCAACTTTGAAAATAATCAACGTTTAAATAAATTATTATCATTATCATATCATTATAAATGTTAATTGCTCACCGGAAATTAATACAAAACAAAATGTCGTTCAATTTTTTTTTCTCAAAGTATTCATTATAATAATAATAATTATTTGTTTGTTTGATAAAAGGTGTGACTACAAAAAAATATTCGATTGTTTTTCTTTTTAAATTATTATTATTATCATTTTTCTTTTAAAACAAAATATGTTTGTTGTTGTTGTTGTTGTTGTTTTGAGAAAACATCACCTTTCATTTAATTATTTAATTATTTTTCTTGGGGTTTAATTTTTTTTTTATTATTCGGATAATTTAATTTTTATTAACTTCTTAGAATAATAATAATAATAATAATAATAGTAAAATAAACACGTTACTTTATTTATATATGATAATAATATCGTTATAATTTTTTTTTTATGACCGTTTTTTTTTTTAAAAACAAACACGACGACTTGAAAGATTATGTTTAACAATAAAAAAAAAAAAATAATAATAATAATAATAATAAGGGATTTAATATTGTAGTAACGTTTTACTATTAACTGTAACTAATTAATTTTAAATTATGCTCATAAATAATTGAAAAAACAAAACAAAACAAAAGGTTTATATTGTTCTTTATTAATTATTATTATTATTACTTTTTTTTTATCTTTTCGTTTAATCCGACATCCCTTCATTTCATTGAAAAAAAAATAAAAATATATATTTAATGGTCTGGTACACAGGGTGTGTGTGTGTGTGTGTGTGCGTGGTTAATTGGGTGGGGGAGGGGGTGTCAGGCGCCTACCCGATATTTTTATAGAAATTAGTAGAAAAAAAAATTTATAATTACCACAAATGATGAAAACGTTCCGGTTCTTTTTACAAAAACGTGAATTGAATAATTATTATGTACAACCATCTGTACATAAAACTTTTTAGAATTTTCTAGAAAAAAAAAAAAAAAAAAAATTTTATTAGTTTCGATATGAAGAATTTTTTTATTAAAGCAACAAGTTTTGTTATTAATATATAAACAAAAGAAGAAAAATTTTTTAAATACACCCTTCCTTCCTCCCTCCCTCCCCCCAATAATTATTTTATTAAAATATTTTTAAAAATATTTAAATAATAATAATAATAAAGGAGGGAATGTATTTGTTTAAAATTTTTCATTTATTTTCAAAAGGGAAAATTTTTTTTGTCTTACCACGAGAATTTTCCTTCAACTTAAATTAAATAATTAAAAAATTTTTTATCGGTTTTTTCCCTTTTTATTATTATTATTTTTAAAAAAAAAAATTTTTGTTGTTTTTCCTTTCTGCTCTTGTTCCTCCTCCTCCTCCTCCTCTTTTCTTTTGTAATTTGATTATATTTAAAAATTAAAAGGAAAAATAAATATTTTTTAAATAATATTTTTTGCAAAATATATATATAAATAATTTTTTTTTTTTTTTGGTTTGATATACATTTGAGAAAAATAAATAAATGTCGAAATATATGACCCATTAATTTTTAGCTATTAACATTGAAGATAAAAAAATAATAAAAATAAAACATTCTTTTTTTTTTTTTTTTTTTTTTTTTTACAAAACAGAAACAATTTATTATATTTTATGTGAATTTATTTAATGTGAAGTTGATTTTTTTTCTAAAACATTAACTTTCTTTCATTTCATTTTATAAAATTGAAAAATGAAAAACAAAGAAAGATAGAAAGAAAGAAAGAGAAAAAAAATTTGTTTTCTTTAAACATTTCCTTACGATTTATCATTTTAAATATTTAATATATTTATTAACTTTTTTTTTTAAATCAATATATATTAAAAACTTGTTGATAGTTTGTTGTTTTCTAAAAGTATCAACTTATTAAAAAAAAAAAAAAAAAAAAAGAAAATGGAGAAGGAAAAGGAAAGTAAACAAAGTTAATCTCATTTAAACAAAATGAAAATATACATGGAAAATTTTTTTTTTTTTTTTTTTTCAAGGGGATCTGAAAATAATGGTTTGAATTTTAATAATAATAAACCAAATGGTTTAAATGTGAAAAATTTTAACTTCCTTCAACCGAACGAAAAAGGGAAAAAGTCTATGAAAATGATAGAAAGATTACACATAGAATACATAGGATTTGAATGAAATTTCGTAAATGGAAAAAAAAAGAAAAAGGCAAGAAAACACAGTATGAAAGAGAGAGAAAGAGAGAGAGAGAGAGTGAATAGGGAGACTGGAATCAAGGAAATGATAGTTTTATGAGGCTATTTTCCAGTCACCCCAGTCAACTGACTGATATGGATATCGTAAAAATAAAATTGGCTTTAATATAAAGTTTATTTGACGTAGGGAGAGTTTCTGAATTACGGTTTTAACTGATACTTTTTGATTTTAATACTTAAAACTTTTCCTTTTTTTTTTTTTTCTAAATAAACAAAAAGAACTTTTACAAAATATTATTATTATTATTATTATAAATAAAATTAGTTTTTAAATAAATTATATCTCGTACGTATTATTCAATGTTTATAGAGTTTTACATATTTTTTTTTTTATTATTAATTAATTTTTTTTTTTGTAAAATGCCACGTGATTACAACATTAATTTGCCATAAAATTTTAATTATTAATTTTTTATGCTTTTGAAACGGATTATAAAAAAATTTTTATTAACCCTCGTTTTATTTTCTAAAAAAAAAAAAGAAAAACCACCTTTCTCATCTTGTATAAATTTTTTTTTTATATAATTTATATTTAAAAAAAATCTTATTACTTTCTCATAGATAGGAGATTAACTTTTATTAAATATTTCGAAAAAATTATTATTATTATTTAAAATAATCACATAAGTACGAAACTACTTATTTTTTAATACCCAAAACTTTAAATGACAGCTAAGAAAAGTTTTTTTTTTAGTATTTAAATCGTGAAAATGCATCCCAAAGTTATTTTCACGGTTTAATTTCGTGGAAGAAGAATTTAAATTTAAATTTAAATTTAAATTTAAAAAGTTTATTTTATTTTTTTTTCAAAAATAAGCATCTGTATTCACGTTTAAGATGAAATAATTTAGAAAATTAGTTTGACGCCAATGAATCACGAACTATGATGACGCACCGTAATAATACCACGTTTGCCAATTGAACCTTTACACGCGATCACAAATTACACTTTTTCCTTTTTTCCTTTTCCTTTTTTCCTTTGATTGATTTCGATTTAATTTTTAAAAAACAATAAATTTTATTACATTCAAAAAATTACTAAATAAAATAATTTAATTATCAATATCTCACGTTTCGAAACCTCTTGTGTAATATATACACCTTTTACTTTTTCTAAACAGAGGGGGAGGGAAGGGAGGGGAGGGGAAACGTTTTAATTTAACCCATGGGTAGTACACTATGCATGGATAGGACGTCTTCTATTTAAAAAAAATTAGGTTCGACGTTCAAAAATCGGTGATGTAAGTTTTCAAAAAAAAAATTAAGCCCTATTGTCCAATGAGACATAGGGCTCAAGTTGAGGAGGTCTCATTTTTATTTATCATAAGCTAAATATGATAAAATATATATAATAAGTTTTCATTTGTTTTATGTACCATTTGAGCGATTTATAGCTCTCCCAGCCCTCTTGAACGGTCTTTCTACGACTTTTTTGTCGTTTTATAAAAAAAAAAAAAAAAAAAAAGAAGAAATATCTGACCTCGGGACATTAAACTATAAGATTTGGAGTTTCGTCAGGATATTTATTTATTTTTTTTTGATTCTTTTAGGCCCGGTTTACCGATATGATGACGACAAATTAATTAATTGTACGGTAATCATTTATTATTATAATAAAAAAAAAAAAGAGAAATCGAATTTTTTTTTTAATGTTAAACCTTTCAAATGTTACTAACGTAAAGTTTTTAATAAAAAAAATTGGGTAATTATTGGTTTTTTGGTACCCCGTTAATGTTAACATAATCATTATCATTATTCTTATTTAAAAAAATAAAAATCAATTATTTTTCCCCCCCCCCGCCCCCCGGAATCGAAACGCTAGATTTTTTAAATATAATACTTTAAATGCCACTAACATCAAAAGCTGACAGTTAACAAATTAATATGAAAATGGAAAAACATTTTCCCATTTTAAAAGAGTTTCCATCAACAACCAAAACAAAAAAAAAAAAAAAAGGAAATTGAGTAATTTATCCTTAGATTTATAACAAGAAGAAAATTAATATATAAAATTTAAAATTTTTTTTGTGTGCAGACCTTCATTATTAATATATATTATTAATTCTTTTCATGACAGTTTATTATTATTATTATTATTATTTAAATTTATATTCGACGAAATAATGATTTCCATTATATCATTTAATAAAAAAAAAAAAATTTTTTCTTTTCAACCTTCTCTGGTTAATAAATAGGTAAAAACCGGAGCAATAAAACATATATAGAGGTTGATGTAATAGTATATAAACTCAGATTGAAATTTTTTTCTTTTTTATTTGAGGTTCACCGATTTCATTTTATTTTTTTTTTATTTTATTTTATTATTGTTTAGGTTAAAGGTTCCCTTTCGGATATGCGCATCTTTTTCTTTTTTTTTTTTTTTTTTTTTATTGTATGTTTAAAACCCAATAGAAACTGTGAGAAAGTTATTTGGTTAGCTAATAATCCATATAAACTTTTTATTGATCGTATAATTCAGAAGCTCAAAGGTAATAAAAAAATAGAAAAGAAAAGAAAAGAAATTACTTATTTAAGTGTATCTTAGGTAAGTGACGAATTTTTTTTTTTTTAATGTACGCGTTACGTATTAATTTTATTATATTTTTAAAAAATTTTTTCTAAAATATTTATTAAAATATCTGTTGTTGGCAAAATTGGTGCGTCAAATCCAGAGATCATACCCCCCGTTAAAAAGGTTAAAAACCCTCGGGATATACATTTTGTTGTCGGGATCTCATAATTTTACATTTTGTCGGTCGAATTTCCGTTACTTTATGCATCCAAAAAAAAACTCACGATTGTTTTATTAATTAAAAAAACATTTAAGGTAAATCCAAATTAGTACGTCACGAATAAATAATATGTTAAGTTACAATAAGTCAATCAATCAATCAATCAATCAGTCACGTTTGCCCTATACAAATTTTTACAAATATCAATTGTTTTTTTTTTTAATTTTAAATTCGGTTAATGTTATCAAAAAAAAAATTATACTTAATTCGATACTGACGAATTATTAAAAATGATTGATTGATTGATTGAAAAAAAAAAAAACGTAAAATGTTTCACTGGATATAAAACTGATTGCCTTTAATATTTACTAACAATTTATATATATATATCTTTCTCTCTCACTCTCTCTCAGATGTTGTTTGACAAATAAACAAAATTTCAATATTTCCGCCTTAAATAAGCAATCATCAAGAGAGAGAGAGAGAGAGAAAGACATCTTAAGCAAATATTCATTTGTAAATTTCGGTAAACGATTGTAAAAAGGGGAAAAAGAACATAAAATTTTCAAGTATGTTTGTATGTGAGGAAGAAGAAGAAGAGAAAATGAAGATTCTCATCCATTTCGGAATTTTCTTTTTAAAAATGATAAGTGATCAAAGAAAGCCATAAAAGACGTAAACATTTGTCAAATTGGATTTGATAAAGAAGGGATTTTTACTATATGTAAACAACAACAACAACAAGTTTTTGGGCGTTTTAGGTTTTCCCTGCTAAAAATAAATCCTCACGCATCAACATACAAAAAAAAAAAAAAAACATAAATGCCTAAATACGGTTTATACCGTCTCAAAAAACATAAAAAAAAAAAATTTTTTTTTTCAACTTTTTAGTTTTTATGTGCGAGTTTTTAAAAAAAGGAATGTGATCGAAATAATATTATTTGTTATGGGTTTAAATAAGTTATTATTGTGCCACGAAAAGGTATTTTAAACGTTAAACATTTCGAATGTTTTTTTTTTTAAATTCTGTCAATAATAACAATAAGTAATTTAATTACATAAATTATATTTTACTATATGATTCCATGTTTTGGTACCGAATTCCAGCAATAACGAAAAATTAAAGTTGCTTCGAGAACAATTAATTTTATGCTAACCTCTTATTAAAAAACTCAACGCCAATTAGTGACGATTTTATTTATTAAAAATTAATACGATTAATTTAATACAAAACTCATAATAATAATAATAATAATAAAAGTTCTTTATTTCCTAGCAACAATTTACCGGGGGGAAAATATTAAATTTTTTTGTTCATTTTAGGATTCTTGGTATGCCTAATTCAGCACCTACCAATAATGAATTATCACCCACGAGTTATCAGGATAATTGTCAAAAATTAAATTATTTAGTTTCTAGACAAAAAGAATTGTGCAGTTTAAGTGAAAATATATTGACGGTATGCAAAAAATTCTATTTATTATTATTATTAATTAGATGATAACAATAATAGTGATAAGTAATATACAACTGATTACAGGCTGTATCAATTGGAGCTCGAATGGGCATTGACGAATGCCAACATCAATTCAAAAATAGCAGATGGAATTGTTCTACATTCAGCAATACAACTTCTATTTTTGGAGGAATGCTTGCTATTAGTTAGTATATTAAAAAATTTTTTTTATAAGTCATCTCGCAAAATTTGTGTATAATTAGTAGCATACCCTATAATTATCTTTTTAAAAGCATTTAAAAAATTTTTTCCTTTAATTTTCTTAAAAATATGTTCTTAATATTAAAAAAAAAATAAAAAAAATAAAAACATTAATTTAACGTTCACTTTAATTTTTAATTTACGCGTTAAGTTTGTTTGTTTGTTTGTTTGTTTACGACAAATTTTTTTTTTTTTTTTTTTTTTTTTCATTTCAGAAAGCAGAGAAACAGCTTACGTATATGCTATTTCATCAGCAGGTGTTGCCTACGCTATTACAAGAGCATGCTCAAGAGGAGAACTAAATGAATGTAGCTGCGACACAAGAGTTCGTTTAAAAAAGCCAAGAAAAAATTGGCAGTGGGGAGGATGCTCAGAAGTAAATAAATTAATTTTTAAAAAAATCTTTTTTTTAAAATAAATAAAATTAAATTTTTTAAAAAATAAATTTTCCCAGGATATTCATTTTGGCGAAAGTTTTAGCAAAGATTTTGTCGATGCCAAAGAAAATGTAGAAAGCGCCGAAGGATTAATGAATCTTCACAACAATGAAGCAGGTAGAAGAGTAAGTAGTTAATTCGTATTATTAATCATTATTTTTTTTAATTATTAAAGTCGTTTATTAGAAAATGTACCTAAAATGATTTACAGTCAATCAGATCGAGAATGCAAAGGGTATGCAAATGTCATGGCATGTCAGGTTCATGTAGTATTCGAGTCTGTTGGCGTAAGCTACCATCATTTCGAACAGTTGGTGATGCGCTATTGGCCAGATTTGAAGGAGCTTCTCATGTAAAATTGGTAGAAAAAAAAAGGAAGAAAATTAAAAAATTACGTGCCGTTAGCAAAGACTTGAAACCACCTAACAAAACAGATTTGGTGTATTTGCAAGAATCACCGGATTATTGCGAACATAACGAAACGTAAAAATATAAACTAACCATGTTAATTTTTTTTTTTTGTATATTTTTTGCAATGCTTATGTCTTTGTTTATTAATTTTAGTTTGGGGATTTTTGGAACGAGAGGTCGATTGTGTAACAGAACAAGTCTTGGATTAGATGGATGTCGTCTTTTATGCTGTGGTCGAGGATATCAAACTAGATTAAAGGATATTGAAGAAAAATGTCATTGTAAATTTGTTTGGTGTTGCAACGTCGTTTGTGAAATGTGTCAATATAGAAAAGATGAACATATTTGTAATTAATATAAAAACGTATTGTGATTTTTTTATGTAGTGTTTTTTTTTTTTTTTAACATTGTGTATATTATTAAGATTTTGTTCAATATTTTTTACAAAATTACTAAAAAAAAAAAAAAAAAACTTTATAAATACTTAGTGTTGTGTTATGCAAATGCATAACATTTAATTGTGTGAAACAGTATGTATCTTATTCATATTATTTTTAAAATGAAATTTTTAATATATTCTTCAATAAAAATTATTTTAAGATACTTTAGTTTTTTATCCTAATACTTATTTTCAATTAAGTTAAATTTTACAGTAAAAAAGTAAGTGAAAAAATTTTTTCTTAAAACTTGTTATTATTCTATAAACTTACCAATTACATCTTGTGCCAGAAATTGTGCGATAATGATGATAATGTTGTTTTATAATGAATAGAATAAAAGAAAAGTTCTTTACACTTGATATAATTTCTAAATAATTAAAACCAAACACATTCGAACACTAAATATAATTTCAATCTTTAAAAAAAAAAAAAACTCCGTGATCAAAGTTACCGGTTTGACAACCTAACAACAATTTTCTATTGCCACGACGATTTAAGTGAGCGCGTAATCGTGTTTACAATACAGTTTTTGTAACCGTCAAAACCAAGCTTTTGTTTATGTTAATAAATACATGAAATAATTTTAAAATGTCAACCACAATTAACAGGACTTCAGAATGTGCTTCTTCTTTGACATTATCTATGGATCATTCATTAATCGGTGATGATACTGATATATTTTTTAAAAAATTGGCTTCTTTAAAAAAGGAAATAGAATGTAAAGGGGAAATAATATGTCGAAAAAAAGGTATATATATATATATATATATGCATATTTACACATGCCATTTATAAAAATAAATTAATTCTAATAATTATTTTTATCAATTAAAATAAATGTAGAAGATTATCAAAGCTTTTCAAATTATCAAATGAAAAAGATTTATGAAGAAGAAAAGGAATGCAATGAAAAATTAGAAATATTGACAGTAAAAATCAAGAAATGTAACAACGAATTAAATGTTTTAAATAATAAATATACTCAATTACAAGCCAAAACCCAATTGGAACTAAAGAAAAATGAAGAATTAAAAGAAAGATTAGTTCAATTACAATCAGGTATGATTAATTTTCATCGAACATTTGATAATTTATTTGTAATTTATCAAATATTTGTGAAATAATGTTATAAACATTAATTTCATTTTAGACAAAAAAAAACAGGGTGAATCTTTTGAAAAAACCTGCAGTTTGTATTCTAATGCAATTAGTAAATATACTAATTATTTAGGAATAAAAGCAGATTTTGATGAAATCGATAATAAAATTATTAACATTTATTTCGTTAATGATTCCGAAGGGTTTCATGATTACCCCAATATGATAATCGAATCGTTAAACAAAAACAACAAAGAATTTAAAGGTATGTTTTACTAACTGATGTTTATTTTTTATTTTTTAAGTCATTCCCTAATTAATATGATGTAAATTTCACTTTAAAAAAAATTAATGTTTTTCATTTATTAAATTTTTTTCAGTTAAAAAATTAGATAATCATATGGAAGATGACGACCTTATTTATAACAAATCGTTTAAAAGATTTCAAATAGCTCAATTGGTTTCCAAGTTACAAAATTCATTGAATTCAAATTGCTAAGCATTTTAAATGATAACATTTATAATTTGCTTTTATTTAAATATTTTAAAGACACAATGATTAAGTAAAACTTATGTGTTTAAATAATTTTTTTAAAAATTTTATTCAATTGTTAATCATAATCAATTATTATTTAATTTTATTGTTGTAATATAAGCATGTATTATTTTTAAAAAATGGATTAAATAAAACTTTTTTTTATTATTAAATTATTTTTATTATTTAATTCCATTCGAATATTATTTAATCATCATCATAAAAATTAAAGGTTTGATTAAAATAAAAATGAAAAATTAAAACAACATTTTGTTTTTTTTTTTTTTTAAAAAAAAAGATTTTAATTAATGAAAAAAAAAAAAAAAAGAAAAATTTGAATAATTTTTCAGTAAATTTACAGTATCATAATCATTACCATCATCTTGGAATATTTTTTTTTTTTTCGTATCGAAACAAACATTATTGCATCTTAATACTGTTACGTAATGGATGCATTGGTTTTTTTTTTTTTTTTAAAACCTTTAACTTTGTTTTCTAAATACCAATATTACATAAATCTGATTTTGTTTAAAAAAAAAAAGAAGCAAATTATAGCAAATTATCACATATTAGCCCCATAAATTCCTACTTAAAACATTTCCTGCACCATAAGTGTTTACATAAATAAATGATATATATATATATATATATGTATGTATATATAAATTTTTTTTTCCTTTTTTATATTTCCCTCGACTTGTGCACAATTATATGAATTACACACAATTTTTTAAAAAAAGAAAATTTAATCATTTCCTACATACAACTTTGGTTTTTTCATTTGTCCATTCATTATCTAATCAAATCACCACATTTTAACACAATACATACATACATACATACATATATGTATGTATAAATTTTTTTTTTTTTTTAATTCGACAGAAATCCACCTAAAAAAATTTCTTTTTTTTTTTTTTTTCAAAATATTATTTTAACACAAATTTTTAAAACTTCAGTTTTTAATATTATTAATAATATTATTTATTTATTTATTGCAATATAACCGTACCAACAAGTAAAAAAATAAATAATAATAAAAAAAAATAAAAAAAAAAAACCACTAAGAGTTTTACACCACCCAATATATATATATATTATTATAATTGAAACCAATATATAAATTGTTCATTATCATCATTATCATCATCTAACTAAAACTCCTCTCTTCAACAGTATAATAATAATAAGTTACTGTGAATATATTTATTAAAATTATATTATTATTACAAATTATTATTATTATTAATCACTGTAATTATTATTATTATTTATTTGACATCCCGTTCATTTAAAATTGTGCATGATGACAAGAAAAAAAAAATTTCACTTCCGTCACAATTTTTTTTAACTTTATCGCGCATGCGCGCGCCCCGTTCCTTTTGTTTACATTTTTTTGTTTTTGTTTTGTTTTTGTTTTTTTTTTTTTTTTTTGTTTTTTCAAAATTTTTACTTGAATTATAGCATATTTACAGCAATCAATCACTACTACGACATTTTACATTTATACACGGAGCTCTATAAATAATAATAATATTTTAAAAAAAAAAAAAACAGCGAACACCACGTCACAGTAAAAACTGATAAAATAATAATATTTGTTATTATTATCATAATAATAATAATAATAGTAATAATAACGACAGTAATAATAATAATAATAATAATAATCAAACCCAAAAAAGTTGGACGAATGTTAATATACACACACGCAAGTGAATTAATGTGTTCGTTTGTTTTTATTTTAATTTTTTCGTGCAACTCGGTGCTTCGTTGAAAATGAAAATTTTTTTTTTTGTAAAATAAAATTCCTTTAATCACAGTTTGATTATTAAATCCATATTTTAAACACAAAAAAAATAATTAATTAAACTTCCAGCACTCAATTCAAAATACTGAATAATAATCATAATCATAATGATAATAATAATAATAATTTTCTTTCTTTCTTTCTTAATTTTTAAGTATTAATAATACTGCACTAAGCAAAGTCTTTTTTTTTTTAAATTTTTTTTCACTTAAATCATCATCATCATCATAACACTTCATCGTGGAAATAGTAGCAGCCCAAGTATTCAAAGTTTTTTTTTTTTTTCATCTCCCTTTTACTAAAAATTTAACTTTAAGTTAAAGCAAGTTTTTACCAAAAAAAAAAAAAAAGAAAAAATCTGATTCGTCGTCATCATCTAAAAATTTTTTTTTTCAAGAGACTAGAAGATTAAATAATGTATATCAAAAAGAAAAAGAAAAAAAAAAAAAAATTATTTTTAAAAGGCTGCATTATTTAAATTTCATATCATCCGTGAGAAAAATTATTTTTTATCTTTGCTCCCTCCATCCCCGGATGATGATTCCCAATCGTTATTTTTGCTCCCCATATCATCATATGAAGAAATACTGTTGAAATTTTTCAATGCTTCCTTTGAATTTTGTGCCAGTTGAAATTTGGCCAACGCTTCGAAATTAGGCATTCCAATAAAAGGATTTTTATCCTTTGAACTCCCGCTCAGACTCTGTTGTTGAAATGGGGCAAGAGTTAATCCTTCGAAGTGAGGAAACGGTGGAATGGCACTTTTGCTCATGTCCTTTGGATTTATGGGCAGTTGAAATTGATTCACACCCTCGAAATTTAAATTCGGAATTAAATTTTTCCCATCTTTTAACAGGCCTTGATTGAATTGCATTTGAGCGAACGCCTCGAATCCAGGCATTGAAGATTTGCTCGAACAGTCTTTGGCCAATCCTTCAAAATTAGGAATCGAACCTTTGGTGGTCGTTTCTTTTGAATTTTGCATTTGCGCCGCGAGCAATTCGAAACCTTTCCCTTGTGAATCTTTCTGTGAGTTTTTACCCATTTGAAGTTGCATAAGAGCTTCGAAATTAGGTACTCCCGAAAGACCTAAATTTTTCGAGTATGCGTCCTTCAAATTTTGACCCATTTGAGTTTCAAAACATGGAATGTTTGATAATGATTTATTTTGGGAATCTTTTAATCCTTGAGCAAGATGTAGTTGTGTCAATGCGAGAGTTTCGAAATTTTGCAAATTATGAGAAACGTTACTTTTGCCTTCTTTAAATGACTGCTGAAGCTGGGATATTGAATCAAAATTAGGAGCAGAACTTTGATGTTTCGACTGGTTATCTTTCCCCAACTGCCCCTGACTTAATTGCATTTGATTCAATGCTAAAGCTTCCCATCCGGAAAAATTTTTCATCGAATTACTATCTTTAGTTAGTTGTAATTGTAGCAAGAGATCTAAATTAGGAATACCAGGGGTTAAATTTTTTAGAGAGTCCTTGGAATTTTGATTAGGTAATTGAAGTTGAGCCAATGCTTCCCAATTTAACATTCCTCCTTTATTACCTCCTTCTTTAGAATTTTGAGAAAGCTGCTGCTGCTGCTGCAGCAAAATATCAAAGTTGGGTAAAATTCCAGGCATTGCTTTTTGATTATCTTTTAAGTTTTGAAGTTGGGAAAGAACTTCCCAGTTAGGAAGTACGGAGTTGTCTTTAGATTTTTCTAATTGGGCAAGAGCCGCATCAAAATTTGGCAAGGATGGGGCTCCGCCATCTTTAGATGACTGTGCCAGAGCCTCCCAACTTGGCGTAGTAGACTTCTCCGACTTCCTCTCGGGCAGTCATGTTTTCCAATTGTTTATTGAATTGTGGTGCGATCGGCTTGATGAAGGTGAAGCCTGCGGTATCATGTCTAAAAGATACTGGCGCTGAAGATCTGCCGCTTGACGCTGAAACTCGGCAATATTTACCGCAGCCGCTGCCACGGATCCTTTGCTGCTAGCCACCTGAGCCATTAATTGATAGGGATACAACAACGGTGAAAAGGGCAACATGTGTGCCGGCAGCGGCTGATGAGGAGGTATTCCACGCATCATTTGCTGATGAAGAGCAGCTGCTGCATGATGTGTGTTAAATTTGCTAGTTTCCGCTGCAAGTTTTGCAAGTGGATGATCTCGATGTGAAAGCGGTGGCGTGGCAGAAGGTTGCGACGTCGTAGTTGGAGTATTAGAACCGTGTCTTGAGCTGACACCAGATCCAACCTGTTGTGTTGGAGTGCTAGGCTTTGGCGTGGGCACGGCTAACGGAGTTACGTTTGGAGTAGGCTTAGGCGACGGAGCTGGTGGAGTACGATTAGATTCTGGCTGAGGGGAAGCACACACCTGTGCGAGTCTTTGCTCAATTTCTTGTTCTTGTTGCAAAGCTTTGACAAAAGCTGTTTTTAAACGTTTGGTGTGCTCTGCCTTCAAAGCCTTTTTCACGTTTGTTGTAACGCACTGTTCGCATATAACCTTGGGATCTTTGCCTAAAATAAATTTTAAATTTTAATTAAATTTTTAAGTAAATTAAATAGTCAGTTTCAAGCATTAGAGTACTAATCATTTCATCTGATATAAAAGTAAAAATGTATTTAGTAAATTACCTTTACTTGGATTTTTTTCCCATTTCCAAACTGGCGTAAAATCGGTGTGGCATTGAGAGCATCTGAAAGGATCAGGTGGAGACATTGATTTATTTTCTTTAGTGATGAAATCCACTATATATTCTAATCCGAGCAAGTAAACAAATTCAGTGTTAGAAGGATTAGGAATGAAATGCATTTCTGGTGGAGGAGGTTTCGGAGGAGGAATTTGAAGCAATGTTTTTTCCAATTGTTTGCGAAGAGCCAATTTAGCCGCTGCCTGTCTTTGAGCAGGAGTCTGGTGATCTTCTTTAGTTCGCTCCTAGAATATTAAACAAATCATTATTTGTTATTCAAAAACTGTTTCATGAAAAAAAAAAAAAAAAAAAAACATGTACTGTGGAATTTAAACTCACGGGTTGCGGAGTTGGTGTGTTAGAACTCTGATGCACTTCTTTTTGTCTATCGATTCTATCGATTCTATCAATTCTTTCAATTCTATCGATCCTATCAATTCTATCGATTCTATCCCTATCTCTATCTCTTTCACGATCCCGGTCACTGGTTGAAAAACTTAAACCGGCGCCTGAAGAAACCGAGCTTGAGGATCTACTACTGCCTATACCCAAAGTTGTACCTATTTTGAAAAATCATAATTATTATTTTTAATCACATTGTAAGTATGTATTAATAGCTAGGAGGTTAAAAATTACTTCATCGTTATTTTAAATAAAATGATAAATGGTAAAAAAAAACTTTTAAAAACATTTTAAAAAATAAATTTTTTCAATTTAATGTAAATATACCTCTTGGAAGTGATTGCTGAGCCAATAAAATATTTGGAGGTAAATTTGCTGTCGAATTTCTACTTCCCTGAGGCGCCATCATAAGAGGCGGAGGTGCATGAAGATTTTGTCTGGGAGGAGGTTGCTAAAAAAAAAATTTGCAGTTCATTTTAGTAGAATGTTAGTTTAAAATAAAAACTCGAATAAAAATTTTATTATCGTACTCCTCTGAGTAGTGGAGGAACTGAAGTTGATTTGTGAGCACTATTTCCCCGAATTAAAGGAGGTGGAACTTGCTGCGGCGGTGGAAGTTTTCCAGTGTTTGTCGTTTTATTAGAAGACTGTTGGTGTGGAGTTGGCAAAATAGCTATATTCTCTTTCATTTGAGATTGGCGCAATTTTTTCAAGAGAACCAGTTTCATTTCTTCATTTCTGAGATCTTCTCTCAGCTTTCTTAAAAGTTTTTCTTTTTCGTTAAGATCAGCTTCATTCAATTCCTTAGAACAATTTTGGACAATGAATAAAATATTACAATAGATCAAATTTTAACATATGAAAAATTGAATAATACCTTCATGGGAGGAGAAGGTATAGGTAAAAGTTCTCCATCGTCTGAATCTTCTCCGTCAAATCCATTGGTGAAGCCATTTATTCTTGGCTCATCATCAGACAATAATACAACATCGGGGCTTTCGGCATAGCTTCTCTCCTGCCTAGGACGAAGATTTCTGCGAGGATACCGTCCTTCAACTTCCGTATGCGCAGGTCTAGGGATAGACATACTCATTTCAGCTAATCTTTGATTATTCAGCCTTCCACGCTCTCTGTCTCGTTCCCTTTCTCTTTCTCGTCCGCGTTCTTTTTCTCTTTCACGTTGTTCTCTTTCTCTATCACGTTCTCGATCTCTTTCTCTTACGTGTTCTAAAATAATAGGATAATTTTCAATCTAGGCTAATTTCAAAATTTCTCTTAAAAAAGTAAATAAATAAAATCTAAAAAGTCTAATAAAATATGATAAATTATTAAATATGATTAAAATAAATATGAAGTCTAATAAAATAAAATAAAGAAAATATCTCACGATAACGATACCTGTAAAATGACTTCGAGATCTATCGTAAACTCGAGAACTGTTGTCTTGCACTCTTGTAATGTCCAAATGAGATCTAGGACTTTCAAGTGGCCTAGGCATTATATCAATGTGTCGTCTTTCCCTTAAGACATCTAATTGACTACGTGATAGTCCCTGTCTTTGACTCCTCAATAAACTTTCGTGTAAATCTCGCGTTAAATCTTGAGCATGTACTTGACTTCTGCTAGTATCCATTGGTACTGGTCTAATTTCTAATGTGGGAGGAAGTCCTACTGGCATTATTGTAACCTGCGGAACGGGTTCTCTGTCGCGTCTGCTAAACAAATATACATAAATTAATTTTTAACTCTTCCCTTATTAACAATTTTTAATTTAAAATAAATATAAGGCCATAGATGTTGATCATGACTGGCACATAAAGAGCCAAATTATTTAAATATAAAATAAATTTAGTTATGTAAAATTAAATAACGATTCAAATAATTATATCGTGTTAATGATTTAATAAATATTTCTATAAAAAAATTCAAATAATTCCCTTTTTTATTTTTTAAAATGTAGTTTTGTTGTAAACAAAATGTGTGTAAGATTTTGATTGACCCACCTACGAAGAAAGTTAAGACGCTATTCAAGGCCATTTTAAAATCAAGAACATTTTTAATGTTTCTTTATTGTTTAAAAACGATAAGTAAAAACAATATTTCATGATTATAACAATGAAATACCCAAATTTGATAATTAAAATAAATTAATAGACCTACCTCACGCTGAGATCTACCACAGAATCATCATCTATATCCATTTTCTCCATTTTAATTTAAGTTATAGTTTTCTATAAATGTATTTTTAATATAATCTGTAAAAAAAAAAATAAAAAAATCAAAATTTTAACTTAAACATACATTATTCACATATTGTTATCAATATTATATGTTTTGTCATCATCATAACAGTAGTAGTAATTTTGAAAATTTTTAAATTTAAATGAATTAAAAAAAGTAATTAAATATTTTACAACATAATCTAAAAGCAAATATTATGACTTCCATCGAAAATTTTTATTTATTTGTAAAATTCATTCGGTTTTATAAAAATAAATCAACTGAGCCATTAATTTTTTTTTTTTTTTTTTTGTAATCATAAATTGAAACAACTATAATAATTATCATGAATTAAAAAATTAAATGTGAAAAGTTTTGATAAATAATAAACATAATAAAATTTAAACAATAATAACAAAATTTGCTTTCGAAAAAAAAAAGCTTTTAGTCTTAAACATTTTATTCCGAAAAAAAAATAATAATTAAGAGGTCTTTTAAAAGTTCACTAACCTATAATGCATATATTTTATTTTATTTAGAATTAAATAATTAAATAAGATTTAATTTCGAATGTTTTTTAATATATATATATATATATAGAGCATTTAATTCAAAATTAATAAAAATTGGCAAAGATTTTAAGTTAAAAATTTTTTTTTTTATAAAATTTGCATTGAGAATTTGTTTAGTCGAATTAAACCCATTAAAAATTTAAACCCATTAATTTCATATTAGTAGCAAATATATAAATTAAAATCAAAATAAAATGTTATTAATGTAAAATTCTTTAAAATTCATTTAACATATTGTATTTTGTTTCATTAACAAATGGTTATAAATAAAATAAAGTTAAATGAAAATATAACTTGAATACAAACACCTTAACAATTGATACGATTAACGACTCTTTAAATTTTTTTTTTTAAATTAAAAGCGAATAAAAAATTCTTTATCCTGATAAATGACAGACCAGTATTACAATAATAATATTAAAATTATTTTACAAAAATGTATTAGGAAATGTGTTAATTAAATTTGATAATACTTATTAAACTCTCATTTCATACAATTAACAATATTTTATGTTATGAGTTAAAAAATTTATATAAAAATTTTTTAAACAAATTTTATGAAGCAAATAACGTTATAAAACCTAGTTGTTGAAAATAATTAAAACAAAAAAAAAAAAAAAAAAAATCTCTGTGTGTATTTTTAACAAATTCTTTTGTGTTCTCAATTTTTTTTTTTTTTTTTTTTGTTTAATAATTAACATATTTTTAAATATATTATTATGGTTTAAACAATAAAAGTCAATAAAATACTTTAAATGATTTTAAAATAAAAATAAAATTATGATTTTACCATTTTATAAACATTAAATATAACAATTATATTTTTTGCTAATTATAAAAAAAAAAAAATGACTAGTCCATTTTTTTTTTTTTTTTTTTTTGTTGAAGCCATGTTATTTTGAAATAAGATTAAGAGACCAGTGTACAACATTGTTAATTATTAATATCTATTGTTATATACTGTCTAATCTCGTCGCGAAAAAAAAAACAACACGAATTGTCGGAAAAATTCAATATCGATGAAATAAATGTGACAAACTAAATTATTTAAGATTTAAAAAAAAAATGAACTTCGAATACATTGTTACGGAAACATCGAAATAAAGTTGAACTCATCTGAGTGGGCTATTAATCGAAAGTGAATGCCCTGAAGCGAGTAAAGTTGCCTATGTTACATGTAATTATTACTGCACCAAGCGTTCTGTATATGTGGAGATGAATAGGCTCAGTTGAATTTTTAATCAATTTTAATGAATAAAATTTTCAAATTAGGTAATTTTACATTAAATATTAATCGAAACGTATTCCCGATGAAAAGAGGATTACTATGATACCCCACACTTGACAGTTTAGATGAAGGGTGGACCCCTGCGACCTACCTGGGGGGGTCAATCAAGGACGACGTTCCAAAATGTGTAAACTGCTTGACAAATCGATTTCAAAAGAGCCGACCGTAGGCGTCATTTTTTATTGCTTATATTTAATATATAATAAAAAAAAAAAAATTTACTTCACTTTGATAAACACTAAAGTCAACTAAATAATTTTTAATAACAAATAAAATAAACTTGGCATTTCCACAAATAATGTATCATTTAATTATCAAATTAATTCATGTACGCAAAAATTAACAACAGATTCAATTCAACATGGCGTGGCCTTCTTGTCTTTGCTCTCTTATTAAAAATTAGTATTATAAGAAGATTATTACATGTTTCATTTTGTTACGAGAAGAATAATCTTTACGATGTTTATTAATTCCGATTCCGATGGTCTTCCTTTTCTAGAGCAGGGATTCTGTAAACACTGTGGTTGGTATTACCTCATTACGAGGGAAACTTTAAATATTGTTAAAACTAATATTTAAATGGATAAAAATTATTTTTATAAAAACAAAACTTTTTTTAAATAAAATTATTGAAATGTAATTAAAATTTGATAATTAATAATTTAATTTATTTTTTTGTAATTTTAATTGTTCAATTTAATTTTTTTTTGAAAATTAAAAATAATTTTATCCCAAAAAAAAAAAATTCCCAAAACTTTTATATATATCATTTTAATTTTTTAATTTTAAATAAATAAATATATATATATAAAATATATATTTAAATAATAAAAAAAAAGTTTTAAAAAAAAGGAATAAATAAACAATACTAATAATTTTTTTATTTGTTTTTAATTTATTATTTAAATTTCAAAAAAAAAAAAATTTGTTTAGCTTTTTATATATATATATATATTTTTTTTTTATAGAAAATTATATTAAACTCTAAAAAAAATTTAATAATAAATTTATAACTCAAAAATTTAAACCGAAATTTAATAATTTATACTAGAAATTATTTAAATATTATTTAAAAATCACAAAAAAATGTTTTTTTTTTTTTTTTAAATTTTAAATTAAATAAGAAAATAAAATGGCGTTTAAAGCTTTTTTTTTTTTAATGTAAAATTAATGGCCGAAATATATTTAGAAAATCATATTAAAATGATTGTTTTTTATTTATAAACTTTATACTTTTCTAATTATTTAGTATAATAATTAAACATACAAAATAGAAACAATACAATTAAATAGAAAAATTATTAAATTTTTTATTAACAAACAAAACAAAAACTTTGGGCGCCTTATAATTATAAATAAACTTTTGATTTATATTTAAATTATTCAATTTTTTTTTTTAAAATTTACCCAACAAATAATTTATTTTATTATTATTTTTGCAAAATAATTACCCTTTTTGTATTAAATAAATTTTACCATATATATAAACAGCCCAAAAATTAAAAAGTAATCTTTTTTTTTTTTTTTTTGCATTTTAGAAAAAGACTATAATAATAATAATAATAATTTCTTTAAAAAGCAATGCAGTTTATATTATCAACATTATAAAAATAAATAAATAAAATAAATACAAAAAATATAAAGTCTTCCTAATTCTGGTTTTTTTTTTTTTTTTTTTCAACTATCAAACTTAACAAAATATATATATATATATCCTGATATTAAACCTTCATCTTTAATTTTAATATTTTTTTTTTTTTAAATTTTTAGAAATATTCGAAAAAAGACACATACATAAAGATATACATATATATAAATATATCTTTATTAATATAATATATATATATTATCTAGTCTTAAATTTGATAAACATTTGACTTAGAAAATACTATATGTAATGGTGAATTAATTAATTAATGTCAGTATTAAACATCACACAGCGTATTTGTATACTCTTAAAATCTTAAAAAAATTCGATGTCAATATATATATATTATTATAATAATACTGTAAAGTTATAAAGAATGATAAAGCATATCAAATATTACATTAGTATTGCACAATTAGGTAATAACAAGTATTATTTTATTAATTTTTCTTTTAAATGAAATATTCAGCACTTTTCCTGACTAAGTTCAACAGAAGATAAATTTTTTTAAATAATTAATTTAATTATATAGCTATTTAAATTTTTGTGAAGGATGATTGATAATTTTCAAATGAAAATTTTTAACCTTTTGGACATTGTAAAATAACTATTAAACGTTTTATTCTTAAATATTGCGGTGGCTAATCAATGTATTTACCGACAATATTAAAAGAAGCTAAATACGCTGTTAAAACCTTTCAAGAAGAAAAAAAAAAAAAAAAAAAAAAAAAAAGAAAATTAATTGTTTGACTAATTCTGATAGTCTTTGGATAAAATATCAACAATATTATTAATTTCATTATCACACGATGATAAATTTGATTTTTTAAATGCTGTATTGTCGAGGGGTGACCAAGCTCTTCCTAGGGCTTTCGACATCATCTGAAAATTAAATCATCATCATTCGATTAAAATATTCTTTTTATGTTCCAACAGTTCAAACCTTCAATACTCACTTTATTAAATAAATTCATTTCAGTGGTAAATAAATTTCTTGATGCCCAATTATTCGTGTTGTCTACATCTATTAACTTAACTATATTCGAAGAAGATATTTCCAACCTTTTTAAATTTGAACCACGCAATCTAGCAATTCCAATTAAATCTTCATAATCAAATTGAAATCCTAAAAATTATACAAGGCAAATATTTTTTATTCTACATTATTATACTTTTTCTTTTAAATAAAGTTTTTGAAATGAAAAATAAACTTGCCCACAATCACAATTTCCTCTAGTTTTCGGCAAGTCCAGGCACATATGACTAGAGGGTTTTGTTCTGGTAGAAGAGCTTCTAAAACATCTTCTGCCAAACACCATACAGACTTGAGATTTTTGAAGGAGGAAAAAATTGACATAAGTGAAAGACTCACCTAAAATACATTTAATATTTTACTATTAGAGTTTTCATTCTACAAAAACCCACAATTTTTAATGTCTATATATTTACATATACATATTTCTAATATAAAAATAGAATTTTAAAAAAAAAAAATGGAGGTAATCACGATTGTGGTGTTATTATTGCTGCATCTACAGTTTTTTTTTTTCAGAATTTACATATTCTCATAAATTTAAAAGATTATTCGCTGGTATAAATGACCCAATCATGCGAAACCGAATAAATTTTTATTGCTCTCTATAATTTATAGTTTAAAATAATTACCTTATCACAGTAAAGAACTTTTATGTGTGTCACTGGCATTGGTTTTGAAAATATTCTCATAACATCTTTGCTTATGCCTTTAATTAAATTTACACGTAATTCACATTCAGGCCTGAAAAAATAAAATTATTTTATTTTCATTCGAAGCAAATATACAAAAAGAAAAAATATATAAAAACTTACAGAGATCTATGAAAAAATTCCCAGGTTTCATTATTAGCTCCATGTCCTTTAAATTCTTTATCCAAAAGTAAAATAAGTCGTTTTAATAGTTTTATACTACAAATTTGTTTTAGAACTTCATCAGTTATCCAAAGATGATCTAAACCGAGTGTAGTTAGGTGCTGAAATACTGAAAAATCAACTGGAAGTTCTAATATTTGATTTTCAGAATTATCGCTTAAAACTGGACCAATTCCAAGATTAATTAATGAATCTTTATGCTTTTCAAGAGCCTTTTTTAAACTGTTGTTTGTAGATAATAATAATAACCAACAATGACTAATGTGCAATGAGTCTAAACTTTTTACATTTTCTAAAAAACTTATTAGATTTACAGCACAGCAACTGAAAAATAAAAATGTCTGAAAATATTAAAATACAATTTATAGGCCACTGTAATAAAGGATTTATTACATTTTTATTAAAATTACATTTTTTTTTTTTTTTAAAGCATTTAAAATAAAACCAAACAGACTCAACTCACTTAAGTTAAAAATTTATATAAAATTAATTTATTTTTAAAATGTTTAGCCCCAAAATATATATGAACAACAACACACACACACAAGTAAATTTACAGGAAAAAGAAAAAAAATTAACCTTAAATTTGGATTAACTGATGATTTTCCAAAACCATATAAAAATAATTTTTTCATTTGACGGTTTCCCGATAATTTCGATAAAACTTCAGCTACTTGAGATAAATAATTTTTTTTGTAACTAAAAATAATTCTGACGGTTCGTAAATATGAAATAAATGATCTTGTAAAAAACTGGCACCTTTCAACGGCATATTTATCATTTTTTGAATAAATATTTATTGACAAATCACGCCAAAAATTTGGAAAAAACAATGCTTTTCTCCATTCTTTGCATGTTGTGGACGCGTTTATTCTTTCCTCATGTGAAATCATTTTAAAAATTTCTAATAAAACTACACTGGGTAAATTATTCCAACATACAATAGATGCCATTGTGATTTTGTGTGGTACATTCAACAGCTGTTCTCTTGACGTTTACAAACAACCATTTTTGACGTTTGCCGCTTCACTAAAATTCATAATAAAAAAAAAAAAAAAGATGGATTTTTTTCTTTTCCCCCCCCCCTCCCTTTAAAATAACTTTACAATGATAATAACAATAATAAAAAATTAAATTAAATTTTAAATTAAAAAAAAAAAAAAAAAAAGGAAAGGCTATAATGATTAATAAATAAGTTCATTTTTTTTTTTTTTTTGTTTAAATATTTTAAATTTTATCTTAATTTGTTTTTGGGTCATTACAAATAATCAAATCTCACAAAACCTTTTTTTTTCTATCAACGTTTTTTTAATACGATAATGATAATAATTTTAATATTACACCGTATAAAATTAATTATATTTTTATATATTTTGTAATGACCCAATAATGTAATAAATTTTAAAAAGTTTTATTATGTAAATTAATCATTCAAAAAAACATTTTCAAAAAAAAAAAAAAAAAAATCACCCATTATATTGAAAAACAACTCAAAAATTAAATTACTTTAGTATTACTTTTTTTTTTTAATAGTTTGGTATAAAAAAAAAAAAAATAATGATAATGATAATAATAATAAATTTTTCGAATTAAATTATGATTATTTTTAAAAATTAAAGTTTTTAGTCATGAACATTATTCAAAAAAAAAAAAAAAAAGAAATAATACAATTTTTTAAAAAAATGAATAAAGAGCAAAATCCAATTATCATCATCATCATCATCACCGCTTTTCATATTTTATTTCTTTCTTTCTTTATTTATTTTTTTTTTATTATTATTTTACAATGTGAGTATGCTCAATCGATTCTTAGAAATCTAATTATTATTATTATTATTTATTACAACGTATTTAAATTTACATCCAGAAAATTTTATCGTTCTTCTAAAATAACTGTTTCTTGTGGAAATAATTTAAGGTCTTGAAAAGTCTTTTTGGGATCTACTGATGTCAACTAAAAAAAAAAATAATAATAATAATTAAATAATGATTTCACTGTTTTTTTTTTTTTTTTGTGATGTTTTATAAAAAGTTTTTTTTTTAATACTTACATCACGCCTGGGCCAACTCGATATAACTTTATATTCTGTATGTGGATAACCTTGA